ATTTAAAAATAATTTTTTTTGTTTATTTATTATTATTTTACATTTTTTTTTACTTTTTTTTTTTAAATATATTTTATAAAATTTTTTTTTTACATAATAATTAAATTTTTTTTTTGGAAAGGTAATATACTATTCATAATTCCTCTTTTGGTGTGGGTTACAAGATGACATGAGACGCCAACTGATCTAGCGAGTAGATTGATATGAAAAATTAGGGGTAAAAACAAACTGCTGCTGGTCCTCTGTAACGAGAGATAAAGATTAAAAGGATTAGTGAGGGTTAAAACGACTACTCCCAGAAGCGGGACCAAATAGATTAAATATAGCAGAATTGAATAAGAAATTGTGACAAGGAATAAAAAATCACTAGTAGCCTTACCTATGGATTAGTTCAGTGAAAGAATTCTACGAACCTCTTGGGCCAGTGAACACGTCGACCAGCACGTGTGACAGGGGTCTTACTGGTGACGGTAGGAGAATCATCATTCACCACCGGAGGTGAAGTAGTTGAGTCTGGACAAGGACTAGGTTCAGTGGGGCTATTTGATTGAGCCGATGGGGAGGGTGAAGGTTCTTCAGTGTATGCCGCTTTAAGTCTGTCTATGCTGACAGTGTCTGGGCGGCCGCATCGGTCAATAACGAAAAATTTATCTTTACGACTAAGGACCTTAAAAGGCCCGTCATACGGTGGTTGTAATGGCTTTCGTATGGCGTCGTGACGCACGAAAACGTGTGTACAGTCATCAAGTCGCCGATCAACCTGAACCTTTCGGTTCTGAGTGCGTGTGGAAACTGGTCGGAGTCGCTGCATAAAACTTTTAAGTTGCTGAGCGTAACGGGTGGTATCCGGGAAATTTGGCTCGAAAGTTTCGGGAGCGATTAGCTCGCCTGGTAAACGCATGGTGGTACCGTACACCAATTCAGCTGGCGAGCACTGCAGATCCCCCTTAAGCGTAGCCCGGATGCTAAGCAGGACCAGTGGTAGCGAATCTGTCCACTTACTGTTGTCCACTGCCATCAACGCAGCTTTGAGTTGACGGTGGAAACGTTCTACTAGGCCATTTGCCGCGGGATGATACGCGGTTGTGCGAATGCGTTTGCATCCCAGCATCTCTAACAATTCTTTGAAGCTTGTGGATTCAAACTGTTGTCCGCGGTCGGTAGTGACAGTTGCGGGACATCCAAAATGGGCAACCCAGCCATCCATGAAGGCACGACAGACGGTTTGAGCCGTTACATCAGGTATCGGAATGGCTTCCGGCCAACGTGTGAAACGATCCACACATGTGAGTAAATACGAGCAGCCGTTAGACGGGGGCAGAGGCCCTACTATATCCAGGTGGATATGATGGAACCGAGCGTCTGGGGTCGCAAACGTCCCCAACGGCGTGATGTTATGCTTGGTGACTTTAGCACGTTGGCATTGCACACAAGCACGTGTCCATTGACGCACATCACGGTTCATACCGGGCCACGCAAATCTCGCAGAAATCAACTTGTCCGTTGCTCGTATGCCAGGATGGGAGAGGTTGTGGAGTGACTCAAACACAGTTCGGCGTAAAGACGTGGGAACAATCGGTCGAGGAGTACCAGTTGACATATCGCAAAGTATAGTTGCCTCACTGTTTAGCAAGGGGACGCGTTCTATTTTCAGTGAGGTTTTATTTGACAGGTGTTCTAAGTTCAAATCGTTCAGTTGGAGTTCGGCCATTTTATGAAGATCGATGGTTGGTGGTACGGACGTAGCACATACGCGAGACAAAGCGTCTGCTACCGCGTTATCCGATCCAGAAACGTGCTGGATATCAGAAGTGAACTGGGAAATATAGTCTAAATGGCGTGATTCTCGCGGTGAATACCGGTCTGAAGTAGTGTGGAGGGCGTACGTCAATGGCTTATGGTCGGTAAATACCGTAAATTGCCGGCCTTCCACGAAGTGACGAAAATGCTTGACAGCAGCGTAGACAGCGAGAAGTTCCCTACCGAATGTGCTGTATCGAGATTCGCATGCGGTAAGTTTACGTGAAAAGAAAGCAATCGGTAGCCATACATTAGCCATACGCTGTTGAAGGACGGCTCCGATCGCAGTATTAGAGGCATCTACGGAGATGCTGATTGGAAGTTGAACATCTAGATGGACCAACATTGTGGCGTCAGCAATAGCTTTCTTGATAGCTGCAAAAGCTGTCGAGGCTTCCTTAGTGAACACCAAAGACTTGCATTTCCCTTTAAGCATGTCAGTCAAGGGGGTCACGATATGAGCACACTGTGGGATAAAGCGACGGTAGTAACTAACCATCCCGAGAAAAGTGCGTAGTGCCTTGGGAGAAGTGGGTAGAGGGAAGTTTTGAATAGCTTCTACCCGGTCAGGTAACGGATAAATTCCATCTTTGTCTATCCTATGTCCCAAAAATTTCAGGGAAGTGGCTCCAATCTGACACTTCGGCAAGTTGAGTGTGAGGGAGTGTGTCACAAGTCTTTGGAAAACTGTCTGCAAATGAAGTTGATGAGTGGCTTCATCTGGACTAGCTACCAAGATATCGTCCAGATAGGCGAAGGCGAAATCAAGCCCGCGCAAAACGTCATGTATAAAACGCTGGAAGGTTTGTGCAGCGTTCCGTAAGCCAAAAGGCATTCGAAGAAACTCGAACAGGCCAAACGGTGTAATCACAGCAGTCTTAGGTATATCTTCGGGGTCGACGGGAATCTGGTAGTAAGCCCGTGTAAGGTCCAGTTTGCTGAATACTCGAGCTCCCTTGAGTGAGGCGGTTAAATCGTGTATGTGCGGGACAGGGTAGCGATCGGGAACAGTTTGTGCGTTTAGTCTGCGGTAGTCGCCACAAGGACGCCAATCTAAACCGTTATTCTTAGGTACCAGGTGCAACGGTGAGGACCACGGGCTGCTGGATGGCCTAATAATCCCCATTTCCAGCATATGCTCAAACTCCGCTTTGACAACCTTTAGTTTTTCTGGGGATAGTCGCCTCGGCTTTGCGAAAACTGGCGGGCCAGTAGTGACAATATGGTGTTTGACGTTGGAAGTCGCACATGGCAGGCCGCTGCTAGGTTTGAACAAATCTGAAAAAGACTGCAGTATATGCGAATAAGGACCAGTGCTAGTGGGTGTGGCATATACCGGGCTGAGGGCTGGGCCTTGTGTGACAATACCGCTGACGGAGAGGTTTGTGACAGGATCTTTTAACTTATGATTACCTGTATCTACCAGTAATTGGTAGTGCTGCAATAGATCCATGCCAATTATACCTGTGGTAACGTCTGCCACCAGGAAGACCCAACGAAGTGAACGACGCAAACCGATGTTAAGATCTATAAAGCGCCTGCCGAACGTAGCAATTGGCGAACCGTTTGCGGCTCGTAGTTGAAGAGACATTGGCCGCCTGCGCTCCTCTACTGTGGGTGGGATTACACTGACCTCTGCTCCGGTATCAATTAGGAAGCGTATCCCAGTGTTACGGTCGGTAACATAGAAGAGGCGACATGAGAGTGGTTCGCCAGCGACGTTAGTCGCCAGTACGTGCTGGCTTGCTAGTTTCCCGACTGTTGAACATCGAAGGTGCACGGGCGAGTGCACTTTTGGGCTTTTGCTCCGTAACGTCGATGATACCAGCACACTCCAGGCTGGTTACTTCGGGACTGTCGGCGCTTGCTGCTAGCACGTGGCAAGGGTCTGCTACTGCGCGAACTTGAGGGACTGCGTCCACGACTCCTGGAGTTCATCTCCTGTCGGATACTACAGATCTCCTCGTATAGCTTGGCAATATGGGCCACCGCGTCAAAGCTTGATGACCCCCCATCAGACGAATCTTTAGTCTGAGCGGGAGCAGCAGTTACTGTTGCGGAAATGCCAATTTTGGGATTGATGGCCTCTACGGCTCTATCAGCTGCCTCGGCTATCTCCTGTAAGGGGTACTTGTAGATCGGTGCTAAGATACCCTGGACTGCCTGAGGTAATCTTTGAAGCCAAAGTTGTTTGAGAAAAACCTCGTCAATTTTAAAGTCCGCCACTAGCTGCTTCATCTGCCTCAACATTTGTGAGGGCTTGCGGTCACCTAACTGAACATCGCGGAAAAGTTCCTGCACTTTCTGTTGGTCAGTAAGTGCGACTCGTTGAATTAACGCCTGCTTGAGCCGCTCGTACCGATCCGGAGACGGATCTGCGAGAACGTCAGCCACCTCGTCTATGACACTTTCGGGTAGGCTCACAATCACGTGGTTTACTTTGGTCTCTTGTGAGTGTATGTGTCTAATGGCAAACTGAGCCTCTATATGATTAAACCATGCAGCTGGACGATGTGTCCAGAAGGCGGGGAGTTGCAGCGTTATAGCCATCTCTGACGCAGAACTGTTGTCAGCCATCTTGCACACAGGGCACAATATTAACAAGGTGATAAAAAAACCAATATAAGTACAAAGAAAACAAATCGAATCTTTATAACCGTGCGTGAAAGGAAAAAAAATAACAAAATAAACGGTACGTAAAAAGAATCGTTAACACGTTAAACTACTATAGCGGAAAACGGTGAAAACGGGCTCACCACTTGTAAGAGTTCTACTACGGCTTAGAGTGGACCTATACTCTAAACACCCTTACAAACTTCTTCACCGTTTTGGCGACCTACTAAGCTTAGCAGTACACTACTGGACGCGCAAATACTGACGAACTGTATCGTTGTAAAAAGACTTGATGTGACAAGAGTACCTGGGAGAATTATATTTTATTCAACGAAATATAAAATTCAATAAATAAAGAAGTCGTACAACTTATCTGCAGACGTTGCTGGAGGTAGGCTCGGAGAGTGTGCAGAAGGAGAGCACAACAAGAGAGCGAACCTATGAACGTAAGGAAGACTCACAAGTCAAAAGGTAAAACGTGGATCACAGTGGGTGAGTCAGTTTAAACAAAAGTTCAAAGGTACAATGTGCACTACAGGGCTATTTCACTGTGTACGTTACTTTCTGTGTCTTGGGTTTTGGCATGCGAATGCTCCTCAATTAGTTGTTTGTATGTTTGAGACCATGTGCTTATGCTTTTTTTAACGTATTCAAATTTTGGCGAATATTTCATATAGAGCTGAATAGCACTTGCTACAAATAGTTTTTCGGGACATGGGCAAGTAAGGGAAAAAGTGGCCAATATGGGTAAAGTGGGTTAATTATGTAGCATTTTAACGCCATTTTGCCCACATCTTTGCCGATTAAAATAACCCATTTAGCCCACGTTTCGCCTAAATGCATTCTGTAACTTGGAACCTTCGACAATACGTCGCTGGGACTAGTTTGTTACTGACGTAACCTTCCAATTTCCTGATAGTGAACATAGTAAGCGTGATGTATGCAGGTAGTTTTGTGTAGATGAGATATAGGCAATTTGTTTCGGAAACTATTTGAGATTCTATGGTGCACTTAGGTTAACAAGCCTCCTGAGCTATAATCACACCTTAAGTTCCCTTTATATTTGCAGTGGATATCCCGTATTTGTTGGTTGCCTGGATTAAGTGGTAATTAAGTATGATTCAACCTAGGTATTAAATGTACTGGTTACAGATGCTGTCGATGCACATTTAAATAAAAGGTACGAATTTTTGGGAGTTTCGTTTTTGAAGAATTCACATAGTACCACTTTGGCTGTCTTTTAGGCAACCAGGTTTTCTTGATAAGTATGACATTCTTTTTCTTATTATGCACTGTAATCATGTATTTTCCAGTTGTCGGTAAAAATACAGGAACAATTATGGGATACCTAAATTGAATACCGAAGCAATTTCTTTAAAGGAATCGTAGAGTGATGGGCTTTACCAACCATAATGATGATTGCCGTTTTTAAATGCAGCTTAAAGATTCTATGGTTGAATGGAATTGAATTATACTATAAACTACCGCGTAAAACTCTGTTGTTTCATTCACTTTAGTAGCAGCGATGACCAGTGGCCTAAACCAGAGCCATATTTTAGTAAATACCTTAATTCATCATGTCAGTAACTCATTACTATCCTTAAACACCTCTTGAGCATTAAAATTAGCTACTCAGAAGATTACATATGAGCGTTTAGCTCTTAGCAGCAACCTAGGTGGCTTCTGATAAAACCTCAAGTAGTGGACACTTACCCCTTTTGAAAATTATAGCAATTAGTAGAGAACGCTGCGACTGTAGAGAAACGCTAACTCTTTTTAGAAGTACCAGTCAAATAATGCCTTTCGTCAAAGACCGTTGTTTACGTGGTTAAAGATTTTGTAACCGCATTGGTGTACTTTTGCACTGTGGATGTTTTTCAGAATTGTTAGTATATCTGCTAGTGTTCGCTATCTTGTTTAACGTGTAAATCTCAACCACTGTATCAGGGGTCACGTTGATGCTACCTACTGCTTTGATGTGATTGTATTTCAAGTCGTCCACTCGCAATATTTTTGAGTATGTCTTAAAATAGTATGTGCCTTCAGTGAGAAACGATAACTGACCTAAATGGTGTAATCATGAAAAAAATGAATTAGTTTATTCGTGAAAAACTTGTGTCCTCAACTGATAGTAATTATTAACCTTACATAGTCTTATCAGCATACAACTAAATAGATTTTCAACCAGTTTAGATCAAAATTGTGCTTCTCATTATTGGTCGCCTATAAAACACGGAAATAAACTTGTCTATTCGAGGGGGGGGGGTAGGATATGGATACTTGAAAAAATACCTAGGTCCACATTCAAGGGTGTGTTAATATTACTATAGGACTAAATTTGGTAGTCGGTAATGTTGACCAACGTCTATAAATTGTTCTGAGCTCAAAAAAATTGGATCTGGTGTACTTAACTGCTATACAATATATATGTATATATATTCTTGGTAGTTAGTTTGGTATTATGCGGAAAATTTATTATTACTTATCAATCAAATTGAATTGTAGTAAAATTGGACATCCCTTTCATTCATTTGTGGTCAAACTTATGATGGATGTATCAGGATTAATTCACCTGAAGAGGGTTCATATTTCCAACGACAGAAGTTTCGGTTAGCTACTGAAGTGAAATCGCGATGAAATAACTCTGTTTATTGTTGAAATTGTCAATTAAAACAGACACATAGCTTCATTCTAGTGGATTATGTGGGAATGCATGAGTTATCTTTGCTTGGATATTAAGACTTTCCGTAGTCCAGTTTTGCAATGTGTTAATTAGAAACAATAACTGTCTGTGCATATACGAGAAGGGAATAAATTTCTTTGAATATGGATTTCTTCACAAACAAATATCAGGTAGAAATTATTGAAAACCTTAGCAGCTGGATAGCTGTTTCGTCCTGGTTTGAAACTCTTCCTCAGTGCACATCTGAGACCTTCGAGTTATGAGGCGAAGTTTGTTGATCATTCACTCATTTAGGCCAGAATTCTGTGACGTGTAGATTCTAACCTTGTAGTTTCGTGATATAGCGCTACTCACTCAATACTACTGACGAGCGACTACTTCACCTTTAAATGGTGGGTGAATTCAACGTTGTAATTAATCTAAATCCTTATAAAAAGGCCTAACCTAAATAGATTTTTATTTTAATCCTTCACAGTGGTTTTTACCTAATGGACTGAAGGCCAATTCAAAGTAATGTCTTATTTCAACATGGCAATATGCTATCATAAGTTTGGGTAACTCAGACATGAGGAGTAGTGCATTTATCAAAACTGATTATCTCGTTGTCATTAGTTGTCACTTTTTTTTCTCGGTTTGATACTCGAATCTCGTAATCTTGTTCATTGTAACTTTTTTTCTCGACTTAGTAGTGATTTATGTTTAGGCAGATTTTTTGCACTTTGCTAATATTAAGCATAAAGCTTAGGTGTGATTTTATATCTTTTTTTTTATTCCTCCACGTTCCTAGTGGAACATAAGGCCTCAAGCTAAAGGCTTGAAGTTTCGGTAGGAGTGGTGTTTAATTTTATGGGATGGGGTTGCTAGCCTCATACCCAACCTTCCCTCTTTACCAGCTTTATATGTGACTTAGCGAGGTAAATGAGCCCCTCGTCGGCCGGAGATGGGACTCCGGACTTTGCGCGTGGTCGGCGAGCGTCCTAACCGCTCTGCGTCCGACGCGACTTAATATCTAAGAATTTGATATAGTTATTGTGTATTTATCTTCTTATAGTTCACTGCCTTTAAAGTTTCATTTCCTAACCCATCTAGGAGTATCATTTAAGAAGGCTGTACTAAATGAGTTCGTCTACAGAACAGCTGTTGTGTGATCCAGTTGCAGAAGAAGAATTCCAAGTTCTCTCTGCAATCTATGCTGATGAGCTTTTTATTCTTGAACCGGAAAATAGGTAAATTTCTATTGATGAACAGTTCGTTTTTTGAAGGATTATAATAGAGTCTATGAAATTTGGATTCGTCCAGATGCTGAACATATTTCAAAAGAGAAACAAATTATCCTAAAATTCCAATATGTTGATGGATATCCTTCGTGCAATCCATTGAAATATGAGTTCGTACTTTGGTGTGTTAGTGATGAGTATATTTTACAGATTACATGCACCATGGCTTAAATATGATATGCTGAGTGATTTGGAGAAACAGTTGGATAAAATCGCCTTATCTTCTCTTGGTTCACCTGTTGTCCACCTACTAGTTGAATGTATTCGATCATATATGTTGGCGAATTTATCTTCATGTGATGAAAAACCAACTGATTGTAAAGTTAAAGCATCACTACCACCAACACCGACATCATCACAGTCTATTTCAGAGTTAAATGGTCATCAATTAAGTACAGTTGTATCTGTTCCCTCAGTTAAATCCCATCTTGATATATCACCTCAAATTTTACCATTTGCTTCAAATTCTAAAGTACCAGAAATTTATCATGGTGAACCATTTGTAGATCGTAAAAGTATTTTTCAAGTAAATATTTTGTTTGTACGCGAAACTTATGTATATCTTTCTTAATGTTGTGTAATAATAATAATAGCAATAATAATGGTTGGACCGAAAAATGTGAATCGCTTAGATTACTAGGTCATTAGACAGCTAACTAGTAACATTAAGGTTAGGTGTAGAGCATTAGGTAAGGAAGGGAAGTCAATCGATGAGGTCTATCTGTCTGTCTGTTTTCGACATAGAACTTTGCACCGATGTGTGACAGTTCAAGTTGCCACACTCCATGTAGCACACAAAGCAAGAAAAGAAAGTAGAAGAAATGCATAATGGAGAGGTGTGAGACAAAGGAATAGTAATAACGAAGAACGATATAGTTTCATTTGAAATCATAAGTCACAAGGAGTGGATGCATTTGTGCCATTGACAACGATTTTGAGCCAGTCATATCACCAATTGTCTGCAACCGTCATTGGCTTTTAGCATCCCGAGGACCCCAACCAGTCAGGAAGTCTACATCTTCCTACGTGGCTGGCATAAATTAACTGTTGTGGATTTCATTGACTGGTAAAGTCATCCTTTGGTTTTACCACCACTGGCTCTTTCCTAACTTGGTCCTATGTCAGCTAACATTGCCCGTCGAGGAAGGCGATGACTAGGCATACGTAACACATGTCCTAACCATTTCAGTCAGTGTGACTTCGCAGCCTTGTCTATTGATTTCCCCTCCTTATCTAGAACTCAACGCCTAACCTTATTATGCCACTCCATGCGGAAAACAGAACACAGGCACCTATGATCGACGACAGTTAATCTTTTCATGTCTTCCACTCTCAATTGCCATGTCTCGCTCACAGCCATAAAGGAGGACGGAGCGGACTTCTGAGCAGTACACATGCCCTTTGGTCAATAGTCAGGATCACAAACAGGATCCTGGGCTAAGAGTTGGTTGCATTCCTATTTTTCTGATAGAATTCAGTATACTGTATATAACGGCAAATCTTCTACCTCGCTTACAAAATCCGGTGTTCCACAAGGTGCTGTCCCCTCTCCTTTTCTTTTTTCTTTCTTCCTACATGACCTGCCTCATTCAAACGAAACTAACTTTGTCAAATATGCAGATGATCTGACTGTATCACTGCCTATCACTTCTGAGTCTGACAGCTCCAAACTTAATAGCTTTCTGTTGGACATCAACAACTGGTCCAAGTCAAATCGTCTTATATTAAATCCTTCCAAATGTCAGGCACTTGACTTTACTTTCAAGCATCGACGCGACTTACTTGAACTAGTTAGCTCGCATGATCCCTGTAGCATAGATAGCACGGTAATTGAAACCAAATCAAGCATTAAATACCTTGGATTAGTTCTTTCCTCTGACCTTTCATGGTCATCCCATATCTTATCTATCTCTAAGAAAATGTTTCGTCTTACCTTCTACATTAAAAAGTTAAAACAATCAGGTATCAACTAACCTTCAGTTTTGCAATTTTTAAACTCCTGTATTTTACCTATTGTACTCTATTGCTCTCCATTGATCTTTCCTGGGTTTCTCAAAAAAGATTATATCATATTACAAAGAGTATTAAATGCTGTGAGTAGAGCTTGTGGTCTGCCACTGCATGAGCTCGCTAATACTATAGTCGAGAGGCATATAAATTCCTGTACGAAATGGGCAAAGGCTATACCATCAGACCCTCTGCACCCCCTTTATTCACACCTGTCCCCTTGTATCTAATCAGGTAGGACGAGAAGTCAATATAAAAAGTTATATGCTCGTACCACTAAGTACAGAAATTCTACAATACCCTATTTAGCCCGTACTTTGTGTGACGAAGACTCTGTTAGACGTGAAACGTGACATAAGTTACTATGTAATTAGCACAGTGAATCTACCCTTTCTTTGTTCATCCTTCTGTATTTTATGGTGTCACACTTTCTATCGTTTAATCATAACTCTGCTATTTTATTTTAGTTAATATTACTATTATTACTACAATTTTGTACTTTATGCATATTTTTATCCGTATTGCATACAGTATTTTGCTATGTAGCTGCTATAACAATCGTTTTATTACTATTATTATAATGTGTATTTTTAATATTTTTGTCGTTTTTGAGTAAATTAGATGCAATATTGTACTGAATGCTGAAAATTCCTTGCTGTATCATTAGTACTGTTTTTGGAATAAAGCAAAAAAATTTATTTATTTATTTATTTAATTAATTAATTTATTTATTATAGTCAGCCGGATATCACGTCTATGCCTGAGACGGCGTAAACTGGCATATGCGAAACCAGTGATCTGTATCCGTACTGAGATTTCGATGAGGTCCTAATTCTACATCGATTGAGGCACCTGGGACATGTTTTGCACTTGTCGAGTCACCGCCTTCCTCGTCTAGCAATATTAGCTGACATAGTTGTATTCTCTGAGCCGGATAGTTTACTTACGAAGCTTCATTATCTTACTAGGCAACATCCTAGGTGCATGCTTAATTTTGAAGTGAGCTTATAAATTCCTTCACGAGTTTATTAGTCATCTGTCCTAGTAACCTTGAACATGACTGGTTGTTTTTGTGTGTTTTCACACCCTCTAGTCTATTTGTATTGATTCTTCCTTTGACCTGAAGTTTAAATATGCGCTGAGTGTTGCATAGTAAGGCAATGAAAGCTTCGCAAGTAAACGATCCGGCTCAGGGACAACAACCACACCAAAATCATCCACCTGTGCTACAAATTTTTTCCATTATATCTAAATAGTAGCTGACATTGAAAAAAGTTCAGATTGGTGAAACCAAAACCTGTCATTGGTCTATGATGTTTTTGACTGTTGGTCTGAACCAGCCACGTAGACAGGTGTAAACTGGTTGCGGTCCTTGGGATGCTAAGAATCAATGGTTGAAGACTGTTGGTGATACGGTTCACGGCTAGGTCACGTGCTGCGCATGCCTAACCACCGCCTCCCCCGACGGGCATTACTAGCTGATATAGGTGCAGGTTGGAAAAGAGCCAGTGGTGGCCAAACAAAAACATGGCCTCATCAATCCATGAAATCCTTGACAGTTAAACTGAGTCAGGTAGGGAGATGCAGACTCCCGGGTTGAGGCCCTCGGGACTCTAGGAATCAATGACTGGAGACCATAGGTGACATGCCTCAAAATCGTTGTCAATAGCCAGTGCAGATGTATTCAGTCTCAGTAATCTTTCATATTCCTTTCTACCATTACCCATTCTGTTTCACTCTTATACTTGTCAGACTGTATTGATTCTCTTCACTCATCTTCTTGTCTACCTCTGTGTGCTATTTGGAACGTGGCAACTCGAAGTGCTGCACTTCGGTGCCAAGTTCTATGTTGAATCCAGACAGACAGACAGATACGGTTCAACACCGTTCTCAGTGACCCAAATCCATTGGATCCTCGTGTTTCCCCATGTTGCTATTCTTTCTCTCTCACATTTCTGCTTATTGCAATACTTCTGAATCCCATTTCTTTCCTCTCTCTTCTCTACCTTTGTTCGCTGCAGGGTGTGTGGCAACTTGAACTGCCACATTTCTGTGGAAAGTTCTGTGTTGAAACTACTATCATAACATAGATGTATGCTTGAATCATCTTAGACGGATCATTGCTAAATATGAATTCGCAGATGATGATCCTTAAAAGTTGTTTTTACTAAATTTAAACTAATTTTTGTATGATAAATCAATATACATAGTTCGTTTCAGTTAATTTTATATTTGGTTGGAGGACTTCATCATTAGGTGACATCGGTTAGAGAACCACTGGAAAGCCAAGAAGTGAGTACGGCAACAGCTGCGTCGTCCCAATTGCCTGGGACTCTTCATCAGTACGCACCCACCTTCAGGGTTCAAACCCAGGACCTTCTGGTTACAGGGCGAGCTAGCTCTTATAAGATTCAACCACCATTGGGACCCGATCCAACAGCCAGTCCTTGAATTATAACTTCTGCCAATTCATGACATAGTGCGACCACTTCGTAATGTCTTCTTCAATGAGTTACTGTCTCATCTTCGACCTGCTGTACCCTACTGGTCTTCCCGATAGAACCCCAGGTAACTGCCTATTCATGGGTCCAGTGGCTTAATGGTCTACGAGCTAGCTCGCCTTGTAACCAAAAGGTCATGGATTCGAACCCCGGTGGGTGCGTACTGATGAAGAGCGGCGAACTGGGACGAAGCAGCTGGCTGTCCAGTACTCCCAGCTGGTTTTCCAGTGGTTCTCTCACCGATGTCAGCTCATGATGAAATCCTCCAACCAATCAATCAAATTCCTACAAAACCAATACTTGAAAACTTTATATTACCCGTTCACTGATTATATTAGAACGAAATGTTCGGCCTCTGTTGTTGACATTTCACCTCCTAGTATAGATACTTTGAGGATGTCTGAGGATTAGCATAAGACTGAACGACAAATAAAAAAATGACTTGAACAAATGATAACTGATATCCATTGAACAAGATGTGGTTATTGTGGCTCAAGTGGCCTAGTGGATAAAGCTTTGGTATTTGAAACGATGGGTAATGGGTTAGAGTCCCATGGGAAACATTGTCATTCACTGAAGATCACAGGTACATCTCACTAGCTGATGAGTTCAAAATGGGACGAAATGTGTACACTATGAATTTCACTATTAGTCACTATCCACCAATTTTTATAAATTAGTGCTTGTTGTAACTAGTTGGACCCATTGTTGCTGAATAATGAATGAATGACGTGTCAGACGTCACTGTCTGAAGATATTCTCGAATATGTACCACCTGAGTTACATTGTATTTAATTGGTGGATGGCGACTAGCAGTGGCATCCAGGATGCGCATCCCGTCCTATTTGGGACTCGTCAGCTGGATGTACCTGCATTTCTCAGTGAGTGGTGATGTTCCCACCGAGACTCGAACCCAGTACCCATAGTTTCAAACGCCAAAGCGTCATCCACTATATATATATATATATATATATATATATATATATATATATATATATAGTATTTAGTCTCACATTTTTATTTTTCGATTACAGTAATTTCTGTTATTGAATATTTTATAGGCTCATTGTGCTTATGTTTCAACGCTTGGTGAGGTCTCCCTTTTTATATCTACCCTGGTTATGGATAAAAAGATAGCCACAGCTACGCATAATATATTAGCTTGGCGTATTTCATCAAAAGAAGCTGATTGTGATGATGATGGAGAAACGCATGCAGGCAGTCGACTGTTACATTTGCTTACATTGTCAGGTGTGGAAAATGTTGCCGTTATGGTAAGTGCTCATCATCATCATTGTTGTTTTTCATTTTGACAATCTTATAAATTGTGGAAGTTTCTTTGTCTTTTGTATCATTATTGTTATTATTATCCACTTGGGTTTCGAGTAGAACATGAGGCTTCAACAGGACATCTTCATTTTACTCTCTTCAGTGCAGTCCTTTTTAGCTGCCTCCACGATTGCCCAAAAGCTTTCATTTTCTCTCCATATCACTTCTGAACTCCAGCCCAACTTGTCGTTTCACAGTTGGGTACTACACTTGAGCCGGTGTGTGATGTGACTCAGTGGTCTCCTCACTGGAGTGCTTTCAGTCCATCTCCATTTTCTTCTGCATACTTCTTGGGAAGTAGGTTGTTGGATGGATGGTTCGTTGACAGAGTTCTGTGTTGTTAACGCCTTCGTGTCGTTCATCTGATATATAGTATCAAACCAGCAAAGGCAGGTGTTGGTGAAAGTCTGCAGCTTCCTGTGAGGTATGCGCCGAGTCGTTCAACCGTATAGAAGCACTGACTTGATGCGAATGTCCAAAATTCGCAGAACTTCACACTGGTTTCAGACTAATGAAAGTTCATTTTGCTTATTTGCTCGTGCCTTTGATATCTTCATCTGTGCGAAATGTAGTTAAAACGACTCTGCCTAGGTAAATAAAAGAAGTGATCTCCTGGAAATTTCTCCTGTTGATGGTAACTGTTGTCTGTCTTCTCTATGTTCACTTTAAGTCCTACTTCATCTGCTAACACGTTGACACTCTCCAGTAGATTTTCGAATTTATTCAACATTAAACATAAGTCGTCCGCAAAGTCCAAATCTCCCAGAGTCTTATAGGCCCATGTATTCCTTTCTTGCCGTTGCCAACAGCCTGCGATATGAACCGGTTTACCAAAATCAGGAATATCATCGATGACTGTTTACTCCTGTCTTTTCACGTCGAGAGCTTAGCTGAGTTCTCCTTTGTGGATCACCTAACGAGTGGAATTATCATATAACTATTGAATGAGACTGATAAAAGTTTGAGGCGCTCAGTATTGTTGAGTACTTCGTGGTCAACGTTGTCCAAGGCCAAGGCCTTTACAAAGTCGATAAGTTTGAGGCAGAGATTTGACTGCCATTTTATGCTCTGTTTGATGATATTGCTTAGCGTTGGAATTTGTTCCACACATAATTTGCTTTCTGTGAATCCAGCTATGGGGTGAGATGTGATCAGGTAGATTGTAACACTGTTTTATTGCTTGCGTGTGTGTGTGTGTATGATATACCCATAAATAAATTAATATGGAATTACACACTTCCAACAGCCTTCAAACTCTTAATTACTCTTCCTCCACTGCTTTGCTCTAGCTGGTGTTCCTCAGGACTATATTCCTTCTTCTTTTCTGTTTTCTTCCTTTCTTATATGACTTGCCTCATTGTGATGTAGCCGATTTCGTTAAGTATGCCGATGATCTGACTGTTTGCCCACCGCTCACTTCTTAATCAGATTGTTCTGAAATTAGCCACTGGTTCTTGTCAAATAATCTAAGTTAAATCCTCCCAAATGTCCGACAGGGATGTCCACTTTCCCCATTTCTGTTTAACTTCATCATAGATGTGCTGATGGAAGTATCCTTAACTGAACGTAATGACTTAGGAATCGACTTGTCACCAGGGAATAGTCTTATGGACTTAGAATATGCAGATGACATAGTCCTGTTAGGGGAGGATGCTGACAAAATGCAGAGTCTTCTGAACACCTTGAGCAGCAATCTTCGTATGTTTGGCATGCGATTCGCCCCTACAAAATGTAAGATGCTACTACAGGACTGGACCACGTCAACTCCGAACTTAGTGATAGGGAGTGAAGTGATAGAACATGTTGACCACTTCACCTATTTGGGAAGTTGTATTAGCACCAACGGACTGATTGGCGATGAAATCTCAGCACGGATCCAAAAAGCTCGAGCTGCTTTCGCTGACTTACACCATCTCTGGCGTAGACGTGACATCCGGTTATCAACCAAGGGACGTGTGTACTGTTCAGCAGTTCGCTCCGTCCTTCTCTATGGCTCTGAAACATGGCCAATACGCGTTGGAGACATGAAAAGGTTGACTGCTTTCGATCATAGATGTCTGCGATCTCTGTCTCACGTTAGGTGGTTTAATAAGGTAAGTAATGTTGACGTTAGGCGTAGAGTGTTGGGCAAAGAGGGAAAATCAATCAACGAGGCTATAAAGTTACATAGACTAAGATGGCTAGGTCACGTGCTGCGCATGCCTGGCTAACCATCGCCTCCCCCGACGGGCATTACTAGCTGATATAGGTGCAGGTTGGAAAAGAGCCAGTGGTGGCCAAACAAAAACATGGCCTCATCAATCCATGAAATCCTTGACAGTTAAACTGAGTCAGGTAGGGAGATGCAGACTCCCGCGTTGGGGCCCTCGGGACTCTAGGTCTGTCTGTCTGTCTGTTTTCGACATAGAACTTTGCACAAATGTGCGGAAGTTCAAGTCGCCACACTCCGTGTAGCACTCGAAGCAAGAGAAGAAAGTACAAGAAAAGCATAATAGAAACAGTGAGCAGAGGTGTGAGATAAAGGAATGGTAATAACAAAACAGTTTCATTGGAGATCATAAGTTACAAGGAGTGGATGCATCTGCGCCACTGAGAACGATTTTCAGCCATGTCACCAATTGTTTCCAACCATAGATTTTTACCGTCCCGAGGACCCCAGCCTGGAAGTCTACACCTTCCTACGTGGCTTAGACCAACTGTTGTGGATTTGATTGACTGGTGCCAAGTTTTGGTTTGACCGCCGCTAGCTTTTTTCCAGCCTGACCCTATATCCACTAACATTGCTCGTCGAGGGAGGCGGTGGCTTGGCATACGTAACACATGACCTAACCATCTCAGTCTTTGTAACTTCACGACTTCGTCGATTGATTTCCCCTGTTTACCTAGCACTCGGCGCCTAACTTCAATGTTGCTCACCTTATTATGCCACTTTACACGGGAAATAGAGCGCAGGTACCTATGATTAAAGACAGCTAGTCTTTTCATGTCTTCCACTCTGAGTGGCCAGGTCTCACAACCATAAAGGAGGACGGAGCGGACTGATGAGCAATACACCCGCCCTTTGGTCGATAGTCGAACATCTCGTCTACGCCAGAGTCGGCGTAAACTGGTAAATGCGAAACGGGACTCTAGGAATCAATGGCTGGAGACCATAGGTGACATGGCTCAAAATCGTTGTCAATGGCGCAGATGTATTCAGTCTCTGTAATCTTTCATATTTGTTTCTACCATTACCCATTCTGTTTCACTCTTATACTTGTCAGACTGTATTGATTCTCTTCACTCATCTTCTTGTCTACCTTTGTGTGCTATTTGGAACGTGGCAACTCGAAGTGCTGCACTTCGGTGTCAAGTTCTATGTTGAATCCAGATAGACAGAAATGTCAGGTTGCTAACTTCAATTTGAGACACAAGTGCGACTTACATGACTATTGACTGACTGGTTTCAACGTAGAACTTTGCACTGATGTGCAGCAGTTCTAGTCGCCATACTCCATGTAGCACACAAAACAAGAGGACAGAGTAAAGAAAGATTCAAAAGACAGATAAACAGAAATATGAGGAATAGTAATATAGAAGAAGAATAAAGTTTTATTGGATATGACAAACCACAACCATTGAGAACAATTTTGAGCCAGGCATATCACCAATTGTCTCCAGCCGTTATTGGTTCTTATCATCCAAAGGACCCCAACCAGACAGCAGTCTACACCTTCCAACGTGGCTGACTGGCTGGCCTAAACCAACTGTTGTAGATTTCATTGACTGATGAAGCCATGTTTTTCTTTGACTACCACTAGCTCTTTTCCAACTTGATCCATCCTATGTCAGCTAACATTGCCCATCAGTCGAGAAAGGTGGTTACTGGCTAGGGAAGCATGCGTATCACACGTCCTAGACAACTCGATCGGTGTAACTTCACAACCTCGTCGATTGATTTCCTCTCCTTACCTAACACTCGACCGATGCCTAACCTCAGTATTGCTCACCTTATTATACCACCTAAGATGGACTGTATATAGAATGCAGACACCTATGATCAAAGAGAGCTAGCTGGGCTTTATGTGTCTTCCACTTTCAATGGCCATGTTTCACTCACAGCCATTGAGGAGGAGGACAGAGCGAAATGCTAAGCAGTACATACTCCCTTTCGACCTACATGAAATGATTCGTCTCCATGGTTCTAGTATCCTAGATGGTATTGAAGTTGGAACTAAATTGAATGTTAAATACCTTGCATCATGTCTTTCCTCTGATCTCTCCCTGTCTTCTCACATCGTGATTAGTTTCTAGAAAGATATTTTGTCTAAATTTCTACGTAAAGAAGTTAAGACGATATGGTATCATTCAGTCTTGACTTTCACAATTTCTTAATTCTTGTATGCTACCTATTCTTCTCTAATGCTGCCCCTAAATCCTTCTCGAACTACTTAGTGAAAGAATTTGTTAAATTGCGAAGGGCACTAAAAGCTGCCAGTAGGGCGATTGGGTTGTCGACCAGCCAACTTTTTAAAGCTGCGAGAAATTGACAAATATCATCTTGTCGAATCCTTAGCATCTTCTCTATACACAAATCTCCCCTTGTATATAATCAGATTAGACTGAAAGCAACTATAGAAAACTTTATGGTCGGACGACTAAGTATAAAAACTCTACGATGCCTTATTTGACAAGCATTTAATGTCATGAGAAAAGTGTGTTAGGTATGAAATTACTAATTTACTGCGGGGCACTACGTAGAGTTCCACTTTTATTCTTTCATTAATATATTGTTATTGGCGTCGGTGGCACAGCGGTAGAATGCTCGCCAACCACGCATGTGGTTCGGTTCGAGCCCCTAGCTTGAGGCCCGATGTCCCACTGGGAAGGTATTGTTATTGTTTCCTTTAATTCCTAGAGGAACATAGGGCTTCAGCCGGGCATCTCCATTGCTTTCGGTTCTCTGCCAACGTTTTCACCATGCTCCAAGTCTGCCCACATGCTTTCATCTCCTCTTAACATGACCTCCTCCAAGTCACCCTTGCACTGACGATCAACTCGCCGCTTCCCTTTCAGGTCCCACTCGAGCGATGGCCTGTCTAGTGATGTTACTTTATGGTTTCCTCAGTGTATGGCCAATCCACCTCCATTTCTTCCTGCCTATTTGTTTCGCAATCGGTTCCTGGTTGGTTCGTTTGTTTGCTCCCAGAGACCCCTATTGGTGATCTCTTCTGACCCGACCGAAAGCTGCTACCTTGACGTGGTGGTCGGGCTTGAACACCGCAATGATCTATTCAAGCTATACTGGCTGAGACTTATGTCTCTTGAGGTCCTACCATGCCAGGCAGGTTGTTTGGATAGCGGTTAAACAAAAAGCAGCTACCCAATCCAACATCATGATAAATACAAAATCACAAAATTTCATGCCGGATCGACCGTGGCCCGGATTAACAACGACCGCGCTTCCTGCTGCCGTGTCACAGGGCAGGAGTGATAAGTATGCTACTGAGGCACACCAAACAAAAGAGAACAAACAAAAACAGGCCGCGTGTGACCGGCCTCAAGCAGTTGTCCCCTGGGCTCTGCGGTCACGCAACCAACTACCACTGTGTGGGCAGCCGGGAAGTAACAATCGCCCTCACAATCCGAAACGCACGCGAAACCTCTCTACTCCTCGGGACGGTAAAAATCTATGGTTGGAAACAATTGGTGACATGGCTCAAAATCGTTCTCAGTGGCGCAGATGCATCCACTCCTTGTGACTTATGATCTCCAATGAAACTGTTTTGTTTTTCTTTATTACTCCTTTGTCTCACACCTCTGCTCACTGTTTCTATTATGCTTTTCTTGTACTTTTTTCTCTTGCTTCGCGTTCTACAAGAAGTGGAGTGTGGCGACTTGAACTTCCGCACATTTGTGCAAAGTTCTATGTCGGAAACAGACAGACAGACTTCTGGCCAGCCATCTGATCTTGAGTATTGAGCGAAGACAACTAACTGTTAATGAAGGTCTGAAGTTTGTTTGAGATGCTCTTTATGACGCGCTGGCCAAGTCTCTGATCCGTATGGTGAGTAGCACTGACTTCACATTGGAGTTGAAAATCCGGATCTTATTTTCATTTTCAAGCTGAGTGCTGTTGACCTCCACACAGACTTGAGAGTAATGAAAGCTTGTCTTGCTTTTCCGATTCTTGCTTTGATATCCTCGTCAGTTCATAATCATATCATATGATTATGAGCAATAGTTTGTGCTCGAAACGTCATCAGTTAATATTACTGTACAACACTGTATGATTTATCAAAATAAAATCTTATCCATAATGGAGTTATACTCTACCACAGTGCCCAAGTTGTATACTCTTCAGTTCCGCCTGTAGTTGAAACGATGCTTCCCAGGTAGGTGGGTAGGTGAAGGAGGTTTCTTCTTTCAGACTTCTCACATTTATGCTGATTGTTGTCTGTTGTTGTTACTGTTGCTGTTGGCCAGGAATCTTCATCACCATATCTGTTTTCTCTATGTTCTCCTGAAGTTCTATCTTTGATGCTTCTTGTGCCAGCTTGTTGCTTTTTACTTGCATATCTTCCAGTTTGTGGGAAATCAGACATATGTCATCATCGGCGAAGTCCAGATCCTCCAAGTTTTTGTGTGGGTCCATTTTATGCTTGTTTCCTCATTGCCCACTGTCTGTGGCATTATGGAATCTACTGCAGTCAGGAACGTAAAAGAATAAAATTAAAAATTATTATTGTTACCGCTATTTCTGTATTACTTGCTAAAAATCCCACATTTCTGTCACACATAATGATTGGAATAAAGTTATTGTTATTCTCTTGTTTTCCTTTCCTAGGTAAGTCGTTGGTTTGGCGGTATTCAACTCGGTCCGGATCGTTTTAAGCATATCAATAATGTTGCTCGTCTTTTGCTAACTGAACACAAATTCATCGGGATGAATTCCAGTAAAAGTCCTAGTGATGAACACCAACAACAGAATAAAGAGAAACATGTGAAAAAGAAACAGAAAAAGAAATAACAAAACTTTTGTGGTTTTACCTATATGTTATATTTTTTCGATCATTCTGTAATCGTATTTTTACTTTGTACACACGTATTTTGAGACCAAAGAAAAAGTTTAAAGACTGGTGTTTTTGCTTCCATGTCTTGTTTATTTTTGCTTACTGGTTTAATAAGTGAGTATTTGTGAAGAGGCAACAGCTTATTGCCTGTCTGGCTTCAACGTAGAACTTTGAAACGATCTGCAGCAGTTCAAGTCGCTATACTCCATGTAGCACACAAAGGCAGGGAAGAAGAAGAAAGTAAAAAGAAATGCAAAGCAAAGACGGTAAACAGAGATATGAGGCAAAAAGAATAGTAATATCGAAGAACAATATAGTTTTTTTTGGTATTATAAGTCACAAGGAGTGGATGTATCTGCGCTAGCCATTAAGAACGATTTTGAGACATATCACCAATTGTCTCCAGCCGTCATTGGTTTTCACCGTCCCGAGGAACCCCACCAGTCAGGAAGTCTACACCTTCCTACGTGGCTAACTTAAACTAACTGTTGTGGATTTCACTGACTGATATAGGCATGTTTTGGCGAGATCACCACTGGCTCTTTTCCAACCTGACCGTATGCCAGCTAACACTGCCAGTCGAGGATGGCGATAATGACTACGCATGCATGTGTAACACATGTTCTAACCATCTTAATCGGTGTAACTTCACAACCTTGTCGATCGATTTCCTCTCCTTACCTAGCACTCAACCGATGGCTAACCTGAATATTGCCCATCCTATTATACGACTTTACACGGGAGATAGAACTCAGGCACCTATGATCAAACACAACTAGCCAACCTTTTCATGTCTTCCACTCTCAATGGCCAGGTCATACAACCATAGAGGAAGTTTATTCATAGTGTTTTAATTACACGGTACAATACTCGCCAACCATCCTATGTAGTCCAGGGTTCGACCCCGAGTCCTGAATGCAATCAAGATGCTAAAAGCTGGAAAAGCAGCAGGACCAGATGGAATCCCAGCGGAAGCATTGAAAATAGACCCAGAGACAACAGCCGGTGTGATGACGCCATTGATGGTGAAGATGTGGAAGGAGGGCAAAGTACCTGAGGATTGGAAGAAAGGATACTTATTCAAACTACCAAAGAAAGGAGACTTAATTCAATGCTCCTGTCCATTCCAAGCAAAATACCAAGCCGCATCATCCGGAGAGAATCAATTACGCCACCCTGGATGAAAAACTTCGACCGGAACAACCTGGATTCAGGAGAAACAAGTCGTGTATTGATCAAATCGCCACTCTACGGATCATCATTGAACAAAGCTTGGAATGGCAGTCACCTGTCTATCTCAACTTCATCGACTTTGAAAAGGCCTTCGACAGCGTCGATCGAGAGGTGATTTGGCAACTACTTCGCTACTACAGGGTCCCATCGACAATTATACATCTCATCCAACAGTTATACGACAATGCTGCATGCCGAGTAATTCACAGCGGGAACTCACACAAAAAACTTGGAGGATCTGGACTTCGCCGATGATGACATATGTCTGATTTCCCACAATCTGGAAGATATGCAAGTAAAAAGCAACAAGCTGGCACAAGAAGCATCAAAGATAGAACTTCAGGAGAACATAGAGAAAACAGATATGGTGATGAAGATTCCTGGCCAGCAGCAACAGTAACAACAACAGACAACAATCAGCATAAATGTGAGAAGTCTGAAAGAAGAAACCTCCTTCACCTACCCACCTACCTGGGAAGCATCGTTTCAACTACAGGCGGAACTGAAGAGTATACAACTTGGGCACTGTGGTAGAGTATAACTCCACTATGGATAAGATTTTATTTTGATAAATCATACAGTGTTGTACAGTAATATTAACTGATGACGTTTCGAGCACAAACTATTGCTCATAATCATATGATATGATTATGAACTGACGAGGATATCAAAGCAAGAATCGGAAAAGCAAGACAAGCTTTCATTACTCTCAAGTCTGTGTGGAGGTCAACAGCACTCAGCTTGAAAATGAAAATAAGATCCGGATTTTCAACTCCAATGTGAAGTCAGTGCTACTCACCATACGGATCAGAGACTTGGCCAGCGCGTCATAAAGAGCATCTCAAACAAACTTCAGACCTTCATTAACAGTTAGTTGTCTTCGCTCAATATTCAAGATCAGATGGCTGGCCAGAAGAGATCACCAATAGGGGTCTCTGGGTGCAAACAAACGAACCAACCAGGAACCGATTGTGAAACAAATAGGCAGGAAGAAATGGAGGTGGATTGGCCATACACTGAGGAAACCATAAAGTAACATCACTAGACAGGCCATCGCTCGAGTGGGACCTGAAAGGGAAGCGGCGAGTTGATCGTCAGTGCAAGGTTGACTTGGAGGAGGTCATGTTAAGAGGAGATGAAAGCATGTGGGCAGACTTGGAGCATGGTGAAAACGTTGGCAGAGAACCGAAAGCAATGGAGATGCCCGGCTGAAGCCCTATGTTCCTCTAGGAATTAAAGGATATAATAATAATAATATAATAATCGACCCCTAGTTGACACAAACCTAGATACCGCTTGGTTGATAGTAAGATCAGGAAAGACAGAAAGTTGGGTGGATATGCTGCTGGTGATGTCATCTCGTTGACATGAAACCATTGTTACTGAACTTCAAACTCTAGCCTGAAGTCATCGAAGACATGTGTTTCATGTGTCTAGTTATCGTCTTTCTAGACGGGGAATGTTGGCCATTGATATAGGATCAGGTTGAGAAATAGTTAGTGGTGATCAAAGTAAAACATGGTATCATCTGTTAGTGAAATCTATAGCAATTAGTTTCAGCCAGCCACATAGGGAAGTGGAGACCTCCTAGTTGGGGTCCGAGGGATGGTAAGAACCAATGAAAGCTGAAGACAATTGCTGATATGGCTCAGAATCATTCTCAGTTATGCCTGGCGCAAATGCATTCACTCCATGTCTCACACTTCTGTTTATTAACTGTCTTTTGAATCTGTCTTTACTGTCTTCTCTTGCTTTGTGTGCTACATGGAGTGGAGGGTGGCAGCTTGAACTGGTGCTTATATGTGCAAAGTTGTATGGTTGAAACCAATCAGTCAGTGAAGCTAATCGTATGTTACAACTGGAATGCAACAGAATGAAATAGAATGCAGTGGGAAGGAATTAAATCAACTTTTATGATTATTTATAATCAGTATGTTATTGGTTCATATAGATAAAACAGTAAAGTAGCTAAGTTGGTGAACTACTTTCACAAAAAGCTTAGTTAATAGAATTTTTTTAGTCAGGAACATTGCACTGATCAAGGCAATCAGTCAGGTGAGAGCTTACGGCAAGTTGTCATCTGGATTGCTGACAACTAGTGGTGTTCGTCAGGGATGTCCACTATCCCCATTTCTATTCAATTTCATCATTGATGTTCTAATGGAATTAAACCCCAGTGACGTCAACGACTGAGGGATTGACTAGTTACCAGGGTAACATCACTTTAACTTAGAATACGCAGATGATACAGTCCCACCTACTTGGTGAAGATGCTGACAAAATGCAGAGTCTTCTAAACACCTTGAGCTGCTATCTACGAATGTTTGGCCTGCGACTCGCTCCCGCCAAATGTAACATGATGCTACAGGGCTAGAATACATTGACTCCTGGCTTAGAAATAGGTAGTGAAGTGGTAGAGCGTGCTGACCACTTCACTTATTTGGGAAGTTTAATCAGCCAGTGCCAACAGGTTGATCGCTGACTAAATCTCAGCAAAGATACAGAAGGCTCGTTTGGCATATGCCAGTTTACGCCGTCTCTGGTGTGACGGGATATCTGGTTGACTGTCGACCAAAGGGCAGGTGTACTACTCAGCAGTCCACTCCGTCATCCTTTATGGCCATTGAAATTGAAAGACATAAAAAAGATCCACAAGCTGTCTTTGATCATAGGTGCCTACGTCCTATCTTCAGTGTGAAGTGGTTTAATAAGGTGAGCAATATCGAGGTTAGGCGTCAAGTGCTAGGTGAGGAAGGGAAATCAATAGATGAGGCTGTGAAAATGCATCGACTGAGATGGCTACGGCATGTGTTACCTATGCATACCTAGCCACCATCGTCTTCTTCGACGGGCATTGTTAACTGACATAGAATCAAGGTGGAAAAGAGTTGGCTAGTATTTGTAAAAGCAAAATATGGCTTTATCAGTCAATGAAATCCACAACAGTTAGTTTAAACCAGCCACTTAGGGAGGTAGAGACTTCCCAGTTGGAGTCTTCGGGATGGTAAGAACTAATGAAGGCTGAAGACACTTGGTGATATGGCTCAAAATCATTGTTCTCAATGGTTGACGCAGATGCATCCACTCCTTGTAACTTATAATACCCAATAAAACTATATTGTTTTTCGTTATTGCTATTCTTCTTGCCTCATTTCTCTGTTTACTGTCTCTATTTTGCATTGCTTCTTACTTTCCACTTCTCTTGCTTTGTGGGCTACATGGAGTATGGCGACTCGAACTGCTGCACATCGTTTCAAAGTTCTACGTTGAAGCCAGTCAGTCAGTTAGTCGTTTTACTGTTGTTTTCATTTGCGAAGATAGGTTTATTCCTTCTTAAATGGTAGTGATAACAGCGACCGTAGTGGCAGATTATTTAGCCATGTAGCTATTACTGTCTGTTTATTCAATGGTAACTTCTTTTAATTTTGTATCGCCACCCGTAGATAACCTAATACGGCCGAGGATGGGTAGACCTCAGTCCTCCTCTCAATGCTCTCATATGGCCAGGATTTCGTAGCCTCTGCCTGGTTATTTCTATTCGTGCAGTTGGGTTTTTCCTCATATTTAGCACTTACAACCAGACTGGTGAACATGCAGGTCGAACTAGAAGAGCTGGATGACTCTAGTTTTAAACGTATTTCTTGGTGCCCTTGTTCTCTGATATATATAGCTGAATCACCTAAGTACAGTGTCGTAATTCTGTTACTTTCAGCATTACTTATCTTTGGTGTTCTGCAATTCCGGCGGTGTTTTGCTTATTGAGAGCTTTTTTAGTGTTGGAGAGGATAAATACAAACCTCGCTTAGCCGGTAGTAAGCCCGATAAAGAGGGAAG